TAATAATTTTAATAATAAAATTTTAATTATCTAATTATTATCATAATAATTTAATAATTATTACTTAATGAAATTAAATATGTGAAAGTTTTATAAGATAATACCTTTTTTGGTAAAATAATTTTGCATTTTATTCATACTTATTTGTTTATACATCCTATTTTACGCGGCAAAACTTTAATAATAGCAAAATTTAGCAAAATTTTAAATAAAATATTTTAATTTTAAATTTTAAATAAAAATTAAATTTTTAGTTTACTTTTGTATTTGAATCTTAATTTTGAACTTTATACTTTCTATAATACATCGAGACATTCTGTATATTTGTATGATGTATATATGTGTATATATATATATATATATATGTACATATATACATTTTTTTAATTTAAATTATAATATTGTTGCTCTTGTTTAAAATTTATATAATTCATAATAGTAACAACGCATAAAAGAATAATTTTAAAACATTTGTATTATGCGCATAAAATGTTAAATATATTTAGTAATCTCTTAGGAACGTCTTTTTCAGAAACAAGTTTTCTGAACGTATTATATTACAAACAAGCTACGTATACATAATATAAATAAATATCTTATTTAAATAAATAACAGGTATTCATAAGACGTTAGTAAGATTTTTTATGACATTTATGATATTTAGAAAACATTATTATTAATTTAGAATAGATATATTAAAAATATTTAATATATTTATTCTATTAATCATATATTGATATTTATTCGATATATTAATATCTATTCTTCATTAATCTTTATTAAAATATTTATTTATATAAAAGATTGCATATAAATAAATTACAATTACACATAAATAAATTATTCATAAAAATATATATAAAAAATGTTATATGTACATAATTATTATTACATATACATATAAAACATTCACACTCGAATTTTAAATCACTTATTAGTTTTTCTGTCTTTATCATTCTGATTTTAATTTATTCATATTTATTTATAGAAAAACTTCTTATTTATCATTCTTATTTGTCATAAGACATTTAGAAGACGTATTTAATATGTTTTTAGTATATCGAACGTCTATAAAATATTTCCTTGTTCATAAATAGTATAATATAATAAAACCTCAAATGATAAACCATTAGTCTTTAGTTTTATTTTTTCTTTTATATAAAATTATTTTTTTTCAAAATGTATTATCAATTCTTATTTTCTTATAAAAATAAATTTTTAATCAATTAAAAATACTAAATATCTATTTATTTTTAGGAAATTAATTATTTTATACAATCAATTTATATATAAAGACACATAATGATTATGGAAAAACAACATATTTTTTTAATATTTCTTTTTTTATATGTATATCAATTTAATGGTATTCAAACTGAGTCTCTTCCAGTTGTTCTTTGGCATGGAATGGGTAAATCTTTTTATTTATATAATATAATATACATATATATTAATGCTTAGTTTAATGTTTAGTTTAAGAAATTATAATAGTAGATAATAAATAAATTTAGATTGAAAATTTATATATTATATTATTTTATTTTATTTTCCGCCAAAAAAAAATATAATGTAAATTATATTTTTATGTTTAATGTAATTATTTTTAATAAATTATTAGGTTATTACAAATTTATATATTTTAAATTTAATTCTGTAATATTATGCAAAAAATAATAGAAATATTTTTTCAATTCTTTAATGAAAAAGAATATTTAAAAAATTATTTAAATAAATTTTTTTATTAAATTTTAATTTTAATTATTAATAATTTTAATTATAATTCTAATAAATCGTTTTATAATTATAATTATAATTATAATGTATTAATGTACTATTTTTTATATTAAATATTATGATTAAAATAATATTTTAGGAGACAGTTGTTGTTTTTCATTTAGTTTGGGAGCAATAAAAAAATTAATAGAAAATACAATACCTAACATTTATGTACATTCTATTCGATTAGGAAATAATGAAGTAGAGGTAAGTAAATTTTTTTAATTTTAAATAATAGATAATAATAATTTTAAATAACAAAATAATTATAATATTGTTAATTAATCTTAATTATATATAATAGAATTAATTTTAACAATTAATTTAAATTTATATATTTAAAAAAAAGAATTTGAATAAAAATTTAAAATTTAAACATATATTATAATTGAGAAAGATTTTGTTTAAGTATTTTTTCTTTTAAAAAATTAATTGGTAAATGTGCGATTTATATAACGATGCAACATTCTATTTTTTAATAACATTTCAAGAATATTTATTATAATATTTTGAAAACAATTGATCTAAGATCTTCAATTTTCTATATTATTTTAATATTTATAAATAAATTTTTAATTTTTTTTTTCGGAAAAAATATCATAAGGCTGTTTAAGTTATCATTTATATATTGCCAAGTTTGAATTTAAATTATTCTATATGTCATTTGTATAAAAGAAAAAGCTTTTTCAGAAATAATTTTATTAAGTTTTAATTATTAATAAGTAAAAAATAAGTCTTTAAATGCAATTTTTTTATTTTTCATATTTTTATTTTGGCTTGAAAAATTAAAATTTTGTAACACTTGTATAGCCGAAGATTCTGAATAAAATTGAAAATTTAAAAATTTGAAAATTTAAAACTCTAAATTCAAATATTTTATATTTATTATTTATATTTATGTATATTTTTATTTTCATTATGTAAGTATTTATATTTTTTTTGAAGAATTAAATAATAATATTCAAACAAACAATATTTCGATAAATATATATTTTATTAATCATTTTGTTATTAAAATTAATTGTTCATTGATATTCTGATAAACGTTTTTGCTTTAATAAATTAAATATTTATTGATATTTATATAATTTTTCAGGATGTTGAAAATAGTTATTTTGGAAATATTAATGACCAAATACAAGAAGTTTGTCATCAATTGTTAAACGACGAATATCTTAAAAATGGTTATAATGCTATTGGATTTTCGCAAGGTGCTCAATTTTTGTAAGTTTAGTTGAGAAAATTAATGAAACTAATTAGTAGGAAGTACAAATAAATTATTTTAAAATCTTGAAAAAATATGATCTTGAGGCAAATTTATCATTATATTTATAAAATATTTATATTATTAAATATTTTATACATTATAGCCGAGCATTAATTCAAAGATGTCCTAATCCTTCAGTTAAGAATTTTATTTCTTTGGGTGGTCAACATCAAGGTGTTTTTGGATTGCCAAATTGTGGAACATTGAAACCCGATATTTGCCATTATGTCACTCGTATCATCAAATATGGAGCTTATTTACAGTATTAATTTTAAATTTTTATTCTTATTTTTTCAAATTTAATTTAAATAAATAAATTATTATTACGTTTAATGATTAAATGTATTGAATGTATAGAATGATTGAAAATATTCATAATTCAGAGCTTTTTTATCGAATAAATACATATTTTACAAATCTTACGTAATTAATAATTATAATTATAATTATAATAATATTATTTTATAGATTAATATTTACATTTATTTTTATATAATAAAATTACTTTATTTCATGATAGATTTATTCAAAAAAAATTTATTCAAGCTACATATTGGCATGATCCATATCATGAAGAAGAATATAAAGAAAAAAGTACATTTTTGGCAGATATTAATAATGAACATTATATTAATAAGGTAATTTATCGTTTGCGATATTTTTAACATAAGAGTTATCTAATTATCACTTCAATTTTAATTAAATTTTTTCAGACATACAAAAAAAATCTTCAAAAATTACATACCATGGTATTAGTTAAGTTTGATAATGATACTATTGTTAGACCAGCAGAAACAGAATTGTTTGGATTTTATAAGCCAGGGCAGGAAAGATTAATTCAAACATTAGAACAAAGTGATTTCTATCATAAGGTATATTTATTTATGATTAAAATATGTGTAATATTATGAATTCTTCGTTAATTCATCTATATTATATAATTTTCATTTTATAATTGTCATTTAATCGAATGTAATTTTAAGAATTTAATTATATTGATATTCAATCAAATGTGATTTTTATAAAAATATTTAAAATAATTAATTTCTTGAAATCACATTTAATTAAATGAAAATTGTATATATATATATATACAATATAATATAGATATATTAACGAAGAACTCTTTTCTTAGGATCGCTTAGGATTAAAAATGTTACATAATGCGGGAAGAATTCATTTCCTTCATTTACCTGGAAATCATTTACAATTTACAGAAGATTGGTTTGTCAATTATATAATTAAACCATATTTAATATAAAAATGAAAATGTATAAGAATAAAATATATAAAAGATGTATATTCTAACAAATATGTACTCAAATATGATATGTTATATGATATATTGTATGTATTCTTTGTATCTATTGTATTGCTAATGAAAGTTAATAAAAATTTTTTAAGTAATAAGTTAAGTTTTTTAATTATCTTAAAATTTAGATAAGGAAGGTATAATTGTAATCATACAATAGTTATTCTAAATTATTATAGTAGTAAATTATTAGTTTTGAAATTTCAAAATTTCGAATGTTTCAAATAATTATTTTTAAATGTGATAACAATAATAATGACAATAATAAAAAGAAAATTAAAAATAGGGGTGTAAGGAAAATTTATGAAAGAATAACAAGCATACCTAGTGTCAGTTTAGATAGACCTTGGAAAGGGGGCCATATATTTTCATCGAGCACACTGGTAGCTCTATCCGAGGGAGCGGAAACAACAGGGTATATTATGGAATACTATCCGCAATAGGTTCCACAATCTCGGTAGCCATTGTTTCGTGGTACCTACAGATGTGCTCCATTGTCGGTCTATCGGTACTCTTGCTCGAAAAGGAGAAAGAGAAAGAAAAAAAGAGAGACGTTTACGAAAGGAACGTATCAATTCTTTGTCGTATCAGTATATCTGTAGGCGTATCTAACGGGTGACATGTCTCGAAATTATCTTTTTTTTATTTTTGATAATAATAATGCAACGTAAAACATATTTTATTTTTTTTATCTTAAATTAGAAATATTTTAGGAAACAAATTGTATCAGTAAAACTGTATCACTGTATTATTGTATATTATTTATTAGAGAAATAATATTTTTTTAAATATGTATTAATATATTAAATTGTTTAAATTGTATAATTTATTTGCTTAAATTGTATAATAATTTTTATTGCCAATCTTATTATACACATACACATGTATGTATTATTTAAAAAAAAATTCATATAATTTTATAAATAATTGTATACATTTGAATAATATCTATTAAATGTTTTAATAATTATATTTACTAATAACGTATTTAATAATAACGTATTAATTATAACGTGAAAATAGGAAATTAAGTTTAATGATATATATGAATACGAACAATATATATGTTACCACAAATTAAAATTTAATTAAAATAAAAATATAATATTAGTTAACTAGAAAAGTTAATTAATGAAATGAATTGAAATAGAGATAGATTAAGATTTATTATTTATTATTATTAGATATTTCCATCATACCGCTTTCAATCCGTTTCTATCTTGTTTTATCTAACATAAATTTAAATTATTAACATTATATTTTATTAAAATTATATTAACTTTTATATTTATTTTATATTTTGGCTTAGAACTATTTTTTCAAAGATATTTTACAGATGAATAATGTAAGATAGTTAAGATATGCTGTGTAAGATACACAAAAATAGAAATATTAAAAATATATTATAAGAAATATCTTTCTTGAATAATGATGTAATTACAATTATAATATTTAATTGCAATTATAAAAAAGAACAATTATGATACGAAATAATTAACAATAATTATATTATATTGCAAATTAAACTAGCTAATAAAAATTAAAAGTAATATATCGATTTTACATTAAACAAAATGAAATATAAAAAAATTTATTTGATTATGCTAATTAATTGAGAATTTTTATGATATAAATATCTAATTATTAGAAATTATATATAATTTAATTATATATTTAATTATATATTTTTATATATTTGTCAAAGTATAAAATAGAATTATTATGAATTCATCTTCAATAGAATAATTGTTATTTTACTATGTTCATTTACAAAATTGTAAATATAATTGTAAAATTTGATAATTGATTAATTAAATGATAATTTGATAAATATTATGTTACAGGAAATTGAAAACGCTACGTTTTTTCAATGAATTTTTTTCTCTTTAAGAAAAATTATATTTATGAATATGTATTTTTAAATAAAAAAGCATATAGATATATTGTTATGTAAAATGTAAAAAAAATATTTAAAAAGTTTCTTGAATTAAAATATGGAAAATAATTAAAAAAAATAACATAACTTATAATACAATGTTCTTTCAATGAAATTTGCATTTTTTAAAATTAAATTTTATTAGAATTTTATTGAAATAGATTTAGTATGGATCATATCAAAATAAATACAAAAAAAAAAATTGTTAAATTTTCTGATTTATTTGAAATTAATTGATAGTTTGAAAATAATAAGTTGTTAATCAGTTTATATACATAATTGTTTCAAAATGTATTTTTCAAAAATATCTTTTGAATATTTCATAGTTAATTTTTAATATATTATTTTTTATCATGCATTTCATTTGTATTTCTTTTTAAGTTAATCTATTATTATAGAATCATCAAATAATAAACATATATATAATTATTAATTATATCGAATAGT